TATTTTCTACAAACATATATTTATATTTTTACACAATCAAAAGAATACATACACTACGCATAAATAATGTATACACTGAATATGTATTTTTTGTAATAAAATATATTCTTTATTTATATGTACAGTAAAATGTAAAATTTACCGCATTTTAAGTTAACAAAGACGAAATGTGAAAAATTTAAATATTAACCGCCTTTTTTTAACCGACCAAATATTTCAGTATTCTTTTTAGGTATTTTTGCACTTCTAGCCTTTGTGGTCATACTGATAAAAAAGTCAGCACTCTTTGTTAGTATTTTATGCCATTTTTCATAGTATATTTTAGTACATGTCTATTATTGACATTGAGGTGCAAACACAATTGAATTATATTCAAATCCAATTAGTAAACATTTGCATTGGCAAATTGTTGAAGTCAGCATCATGGATGCGGAGCAGCTGAAACGACTTGAGCGCAAGGAAACCGCCTACATCGCTGACATACTTACCCAGTTTAATACGAAGGTAAGGGCACCAAACCACCAGCACCACCCACACTTTTGTAGCTGTGACTAATGTTTGTTGTGTGGCGGCTATCCGCAGAATGCAGATTTGCTGGTCTTTGATAGCTTTCACACGGACAATCTGTGGCACGATCTCTGGCTGGCCATATTTGGAATACTGGATGACGAGAGTTTATCATCATTGCACGCCCAATGTCTCAACACTGTGCGCATTCTAACGCGAGATGAGTTCAGCCTGCAGACGCACTATATTGAGCAGGAGCTAGGCACGCTGTTATCTCTGGCCCGCATCAATGGCAGCACCAGCAGCAACAGCGACGACGACGGAACGCTGCCCCAATTAACTCTGAGCGATGGCGAGGCTGATGTCATTGCCGAATCCTTGAAATGTATCTGCAATTTGGTCTATCAAAGCGCGGACTGCCGGCGCCAGTGTCTGCGCCAGCACAGCCTCGACGCGATTGTGAAGCGCTTGAATAGCGCCACCTCCTGTGCGACACGCTATCCGAGCACCCTGGAGTACTATGATATGAAACTGTTGTTCCTGCTCACCGCACTGGAGCCAACAGCGCGCACACGCCTACAAATCGATCTCAATGGACTGACCTACATGACCAACTGGTTGGACGACAAGCTGACCGAGTCGGCGACGGCAGCGGTCAGTGACGAGCAACTGAACATTATCTGTGAGCTGCTCAAGGTCATGTTCACCGTGACCAGTGCACCGGACAAGAGTCCCAACGAGTATGAGATTCAAAGTCTTCACTTGACCGGCGTTCTGCGCGAGCTACTATTGCGCTTTGGCAACCTCTCTACGGAACGGGAGCGAGCTGTGGTCACGCATGCCATCAATCTGCTGACCAACATCTCTGGCAGCTGCTTGAGCGAGCTGCTGGTCAAGTGCAGCAATGCCGAAACGGGGACAGAGAACGAAGCAGTCAGTGCCAATGCGAAATGCTGTGCCGTCTGCTTCGAGAAGCGCAACGTGCGCAGCCTGGCCGTGCTGTTGGATTATCTGCGCGGCGGACTCGCCCAGCAGGAGTCCGAGGCCAGTTCCCATGAGCTGCTGTCGCCAGTGCTGACGGTGCTGGTGAAGTGTGCTCGCAGCAATCGCACCATGCGCCACTATTTGCGCAAGGAGATCCTGCCGCCGCTAAAGGATGTGAGCAAGCGGCCAGAGGTTGGCAACGAGCTGCGCAATCATCTCTGCCGCTTTCTCACACTGCCGGCCATGATCCTGCGCGACCTGTCCGCCGAGCTGCTGTTTGTGCTCTGCAAGGAGGACGTCGGTCGCATGATCAAATATACGGGCTATGGCAATGCGGCCGGGCTGTTTGCTAAGCGCGGCGTGCTCGACTGTCGGCGCATTGAGGGCACCGACTACTCCTCGGACAGCGAGGACAGCGACACGGAGGAGTATAAACAGCAGCAACAGTCCTTCAATCCCGTGCTGGGCTGTGTCGAGCAGCCCAAGCGCAATCCGCTCGAGGGCATGTCCGAGGAGCAGAAGGAGTACGAAGCACTGCAATTGGTCAATTTGCTGGAACAGCTGCGCAAGGATGGCATTGTGCAGCCGGCGCTAATCGACAAGGATGGCAAGCCGCAGCCCCTGGAGCATATACTGCAGCTGCAGGAGGAGCTGCCGCAGCAGCAGTTCGAACAGAAACGCAAAACCTAAACGTTGGATCGCACCCTTAACGCGATCCCTCGTCTCAACATGCAATACAATCGTTTGGGGTCTTCCAACTCGCAGCACCAGCGTCAAATTTTTGGAAGCTGATAGATAGCTAACACCCATTACTAAAGTGGATGACTGTTATCCATTAATCTTTGATACTACGAACACAATCTATGCTCGCTAATATTCCAGTATACATTTACTAAACTAACACTAAACTAGGGCCAACATCCAGAGCTAAACTCGGACTTGGGGCAACCAGCAGAGAACATTCTCTGTACCTCTTTAACGACTTTGTAAGTGAGAATTTTTGTCATTTATGTATCTCCACTGTATTTATTACCGCTTAAGCTCAACGTCAAACTATAACTTCAAAGGGAAGTATATGCAAAAACAAGAGACCTAAGAATAAATGTTAATAAAAATATTAATAAATAGTAGAAGAAAAAACATACATTTTTCGATTCCTTATGCGTAGATTAAAATCTATTTAGAGCTTTATTGTGTTCAATTTTGATAGTCAGTTGGGCTCAGTTGCCTATATAGATTAACGATATTACGTATATATACACGAATCAAATAAATGTACTTCTATAGTTGCTGATACTAAATATATTTATATGCATATTCATATATACATATACATACATATGTATGCTTAAAAACCCAAACTCTCAGTGAAGAAACTTTTTTCCCAAAATAAATCAAATATTACATAATACTTATCCATTGTTTTTCAAATCAGAAATTTATACAACTTGAATCTGAATTAAGAATTTATTTTAATATAATTGTTCGAAATAATTCAAAATTATAATAATTGGCGTTCCGTAAATATTTGTCCGAATTGTCGTCCCGATATTATGAAATTGCAATTTGATTCAGAATTTTCAACTACTTCTATTTTGATTTAAATTTCTAATTTATATATTATATGTATTTACAAGGGTGGCCTGAAAAATTCCCCCACATTAAATATTCAATTTGCTTTAAACTGAAATTTGCTTATCTCTTTCTAAGATATAGATAGTCGAGAATAAAAATAAACATAAAAAGCATAAACTATAAT